ACACACACACACACACACACACACACACACACACACACACACACACACACACACACACACACACACACACACACTCATATCCTGACAGCCTCTGACAGACAAACAACTCACGAGCAAACACCGCTTCATTGAACGCACAGCACCCCCTTCTTAGCTATCAACACCTGAGCTGCCTTTGGGCTCTGCACCCAATCTAAACACTTCCTGACAAACACCGCCGTCCGCTCTGAACGGACACACCTGTCACCGCGCGTACACAGAGCCGTCACCACGGATACGGACCTGTCTTCCTGTGCCAGGGCTCTTTGAGTGGCGGCCCGCTCGTCCCTAGGGGCTCTATTGCAGCTGATGAGAGCAGGCAGGACAAAGAAGGGTGTAGAAAAGAAGAGGAAAGGAACTTCGTATGGGAGAGGGCTGCAAATGGAGTCCTTACTCTCTGTAAATCACATATGTTGTCTTCTTTTACACTTTGCAGGGCTGCTTTGTCTTTTCTACAGCTACAGACAGCTTGACAGAAAGATACTTTTAAAGGGATCCTCGATTAGTTGTAACATTAGACTTTATTTGATAAACATATACTTTAACTGTACAATAAAGACTGCAAAAATATTGTAGGCTGTTTTGTTTTTATAATTTTTAAACAACGTTTAAAAATATATTACACGGACAGGGCCATTTTATTTACACACAAAGAATTCTGGGTAATTGATGATGTGGACAGGTCATCGGTGCGAGGCTGCTAGCGAGCTATATCCACCCTGAAGGTTGATCTTAGACAATATTTGACGATTGACTCTTTTAAATGAAACCAGAGAGCGTTGACAGAGAGGAGAAATGACTCAGCCTGTAACTGAAAATACAGARGGAGGACAACAGAGCTGCTTCATGGAAGAAGAACCCCAGCTTAGCCTGTTAGCTTTAGCGTTAGCCCAGACTATCACCATATACCTGTATATGTATTAGCTCAGTGTTACACATTCTCCTCTCATCACTGAGGTCCTCCATCCACATGACAGAGAGGGGAACGCAAAAATGACTCAGTCTGCAACTGAAAATATGGATGGAGGACCTCAGTTTAGCTTGTTTGTCGCGCTAGCGCCGAGCTAATARATATAAGGCAATATAGCATCGGCGCTAGCGCAAAGACTAACAGGCTAAGCTGAGGTTCTTCTTCCATGAAGCAGCTCTGTTGTCCTCCATCCATTTTTTCAGTTACAGGCTGAGTCATTTCTACCTTCTCCTCTCTGTCAACGCTCTCTGGTTTCATTTAAAAGAGTCGATCATCAGATATTGTCCAAGATTAACCTTCAGGGTGGATACAGCTCGCTAGCAGCCTCACACTGAGGACCTATCCACATCATCATTTACCCAGAATGTTTTGTGTGTAAATAAAATGGCTCATTCCGTGTTAAAATATATTTTTAAAAATTTACTAAAGTAAACAGCCTACAGTATTTTTACGGTCTTTATTTTACAGTTAAAATATGTGTTTATCAAATAAAGTCTAATGTTACAACTAATCAGGGATCTCTTTAATAATTATTTCTTTTAAAGTGAATATGTTGAGGAAAAAAAACTGTGGCTTAATAAGAATGTTTACAGTGAAGTGGTGCTTCATCCCCACCACTGTAATTGGTGTGTGCTGCTGTACTGGATGTGACTTGGAGTTCACATGCTAATGAATTCATGGATGCATACTGCCATACTGACACGCAAACAAGCTCAGATGTTTCATAAAAACATAAAGAAGCAGCTACTAGCCTATTCCTTTTACCTACAGCCACTCGGGGGGATTCAGCAGAAAGCATTARACAACATCATAAATAATAGAGCCGGACCGTCTAAACACGCGTTTAAAAATGGCTGGAAGTACATGAAGATACGGACAGTACGCACGAGGACCAAAGCCCCACCGGACCGTGGGGCAGAGAAACAGAGCTGAATTAAAAGCCCAGCCATATGTGTCTGTGTGAGTTTGGAGGAGTTTTCAAAGAGACTACCTGTGCCCTGCCAAAGGCATTTTTGTGCTGAAGGCACTGTATCAGGCTCTTCAATCGCCTCTTAATCCTAGCGGTGTGGAGTGCAGCTGCTTTGAAGTGTGTATGCGAGTGTGTGTACAGACACTTTGTGTACGTAGTGTGTTAAAGAGAGTGGAAGCAGATCTGAAGGCAAAGCATGCACCACTTACCAGAACTTAATTAATAATCTGCAGTGGGAACCAGGCCAAACGCACGCACACACACACACACACACACACGTACATACATAAACACACAGAGACAGACAAAAGGGCAACACATAAAAACTGACAGGAGTGGCAGAAGGCAGTGTGACAACTTTCCCTCATAAGCTTAAAGACACACACACAAGTCACACATTTGCTCCAGCACAGATAACGGACAAACAGACTGACTTTGATCTTTAGCTGTTTGGAAAGAGGCTTGAAAGGTGTGCATTCCAGGAATGGTCCTGCTTTT